TGTCTTTTGTCATCAATCACAAATGTTTCTTCTTGTTGTTTTTGCAATTTTGCTTAACATATTCGTAGAGTAAAAAAATTGTATGGATTGATTTGGACCATCAACACCATTAAAAAATTAGTATTTCTGGAAAGACTCGTGAAAATTTCAAGCGTTTCCTATTTTAATTTTCCTGTAAATTTTAATTAGGTACCTCCATTTGGTAGCGTAAAAAAATAGCATATGATGGAAAAAGGCCCAAACTCAAACACAGTTTTGTCATTAAAATATTTATGTTATTATTAAGAGGAAAGATCAAAGTATTTTTTATTTTTATTTTTTTTTAATTTTTTTACTCTTTTGTAGCACATTCGAAATTTTGGTTAAAAATCTTGTTTTTTCTTTTACGTCAGCGGCGGACCAATGATAAAGCTAGTTTTTTTTCCGGTTGAAAACATTGATTTGGAAATTCTTGCAAATTTCAAATAATTGTGGAATTTTAATGAAACTTTCAGGAGATATTCAGAAATGAAGGAAATTTCTTTTTAAATTTTTTTTTAGAAAATCTTGGTAAGAATATTTTTTTTTTAAATATGTTACCACGCACTTACTTAATTTCATGAAATTTCGAGAAATTACATTTTTAGGGCGTTTTTTTTTTTTTTTAGTTAAAAACAGGATTCCTTGAAAAAAAATAAACTTGTAGAAACTTCAATCTGCTTTCTTTTCATTTTCTTTCTTTCCGCTTCTTTCCGTTTGTTCTTTTTCTTTCAGTTTCTTTCTTTTCGTCAGCGTTTGTGGTCGTTGGCGTTTACCTTTTGAATGCCGAAACCCTTCTTCTTCTTCTTCTTCTTCTTCTTCTTCTTCTTCTAAATTCAGCTGCCCGAACCACCGACGTCTTTCTTGTGTTGCCAAAACTTTTCTTCTGTCAGACAAAACAGACTTCTTAAATAACCACAAATCAGTTCCGAGTTGAATCAGAATTTTAATACACTAGGTTTAGTAACTTATTTTTCCCTATTGATTAAAATGTCACATTGTTCGCAAATTTTATTTTGGCGGCTTTTCAGGCCATAAGACTTGAACCAATTTTTTTTTCAAATTTTTTTAAAACCAAATTTTATACAATGTATCTTTTTTATAAACCGTCAGTCTCTTGAGCCTAAGCTTGTTTTTAAAACCGTCTGACTCCATTTTAGCAATTTTTTTAAAAATTATTTTATTTAAAGAATACTTGTTAGGAATTTTATTCTTTTAACTTTTTAAACTCCACTCAAAAAAAGTGTAATAAACAAACCTGGTCCATTGCATTATTTTTTTTAATTTAACATTTAATTATTTTTAGATAATTTTATATTTCTTTTTTATTATATAATTTTTAGTTTCTTCTCTCGCACTTCTCGCTTGTGGATTTTTTTTTTTTCTGGCTTCTTGCTTTCCTGTCAACTTTGATCTTCAAAAATTTAAATTCATTGTCAAATCGTTATCTGTTTTCTTAATTCCTGCTCTTTTATTACCCCCCCCCCTTAATAATGTTTTAGTTTTTCTCATATTCTTTTCCAATCAGTAACTCCTTGCGTCTTAGTGGCTTTATTACCTTGCTTGAGGTGAAACACAAGCTCCCCCACCATTTATCAGATTTTTTTTTAACATTTCCCCACCTTTCTGTCGTTACTATATTTTCCTGCCCCATCCACCCTCATTTACTACGACCCCCTTTTATTTGGCGCGGGACTGTTTATTTATTTAATCAAATTACAAGTAGTGCAATATATTAATCTAATACTTGTAAGCCAATTTAAAATAATATTAACATTTATTTTTTTAAAAACAAATATATTTATAATTATTATATATTATAGGATTAAAAATTATTATATATTATAGAAAGAAAACTATTATATATTATAGAAATAAAATTATTATATATTATAGAAATAAATTTATTATATATTACAGAAATAAATTTATTATATATTATAGAAATAATATTATATATTATAGAAATAAAACTATTATATATTATAGAATTAAAATTATTATATATTACAGAAATAAAATTATCATATATTATAGAAATAATATTATTATATATTATAGAATTAAAAACATTTATATATTATAGAAAAACAATTATTATATATTATAGAAAAAAAAATTATTATATGTTATTGAAATAAAATTATTATATATTACAGAAATAAAATTATCATATATTATAGAAATAAAAATATTATATATTATAGAAATAAAAATAATTATATATTACAGAAATAGAATTATTATATATTACAAAAATAAAATTATTATATATTATAGAAATAAAAGTATTATATATTATAGAAATAAAATTATGGTATGTTATAGGAATAAAAAAAACAAATGCACTTTTCCGAATATTAGAATTCCTCTCTCAGTTCTAACCGGCTAAATAAAAAATACAGCGCCTACCGTAACGCCGTAAGCTTGTTTCGTATACGAAATCAGTGGGGAGTCATTTAAGGGATCTGCAATTACAAGGGAGGCACGGTGGAGTAATGGATAGTGCCTTGGATTGAGGAATTGGAGAACCGAGTTCGAATTCCAGTCGAATCCATTACATTCACTTACGAATGGGAAAGGTAATCCACTCCTTGGGCTATGGATAAATAGCAGAACAGACCAGGTTCTATAGCCTTGGATGGAAATTGGTCAACCGCAAAAAGAAATGGCAACCTACTGCGGGAAAAAAATCTGCATTGTTAGTCATGTATCAAAAGATACATGATTACCTAAGCGTGTATCACGCATAACACATAACTGACTGATAATTACATGGTTTGGGTTAAACGACTGTTGGTAAACAAGGTTTATTTCCCTTGCATTTTAATTTTATTGTAAGGGAGATAACTGTTGGTTACTTGAGTGTAGATTTAATCTTGTTTCGTTGTGGTGGAGCCTATCGTGGCTGTGTGCACTAAAAAACGTAGCGGCCTATACAGCCGTTTCCTCTATTCATGGTCGACGGAAGTCCGAACGCTGGCAAAAATCACATTTCCTTTTTGTTAAAGACTCTCGAAAATATGAGGACAGTAGACATCAATTAAAAATTATGTCTATTCAAAAACATGTAGCCACTAAATATAAAGTTTATTATACTGGGAATATATATATATATATATATATATATATATATTCATGAATTATTCATACAAAAAACAAATACAAAGGTTAATGATTTAATTGGCGAGAAATCAATCGCCGCGAACAATTCAAATAATATACAAAAACCCCGAACCTGTTTATGAATGAAAAGATCCTTGTTTTTATAAATCTGTTGCATAAGTTCTTATTATTTTTACAAGCTTTCGTCTGTTCCTACAGACATCCTCAGGTATGGAATAGATTTTGTTCTTGTTTTTACTCTCAGTAATAAGAGGACAACAAAAATATATGTATTGTTGTAATCCGAAAAATGCTATTAGAAATGTGTTATTGTTTTTGGAGCGTGCTGTCGCAACGCTGAGTTTGAATTTAAATTTTACAATTGTGCGTTCTTATACAAATATGGTGATAAGTGAATTCTTTTGTACTAGTAAATTTTCTGTCAAAGTGGCACGAACTACAGTAATGTCACACTTATTATCCAAAAGTTTCACTTGGATCAGTTATTTTAATTTCAATAAAGGTGCAAGCTTTCGTCTGTTCCTACAGACATCCTCAGGTATGGAATAGATAAAATAATAAAAACTTATGCAACAGATTTATAAAAACAAGTCAGCGGGGAAAAGAAAGTCCCGTGTAAATGAGAACCTGGATCAAACGGCAACTAGGAGAGCTTCCAATGCTGAGAATATGCAAACCTCCTGAACAAACCAAAGACCCAATCAAGAGCCCTCTGCAAGAATTAGCTTAAATGCTGCCAATATAATATAGTATTATATACAATACTAAAAAGAAAAAATAGTAGGCAAGACTAGAGTCCAGCTCAATGCACAATTCAGAAAATTAATAAACAATAAAACATAAAAACGGAAACAAAAAATTAATAAACAATAAAACATTTGACGCTGGAAATTTCCTTTAGTGGTTCACCGTCCCTGGTGACGCTGGCGTTAGTGTTGCTTGTGCTATTCACAATTTCTGTGCATTGACTTCTATTCCATATGCGCCGACGTTTTTTTTTGACAGGAAAGCAAGAAGCCGGTAGAAGAAGCCGGTAGAGAGTTACACAAATGCGGAAGAGCTTTCTCAAGGATGTCCTCTCGAACGCCTGGATCCTTTTCCCTACATCAACCAGGAGACTCCAAATCTCACACCCGTTGAGAAGGGTGGATACGACTAGCGATTTGTAAAGGCATGAACTTGGTCTAGAAGCTGATCTTGCTTTTCTATATCCTTTCTAATATGGCCATCGTTGTTGTAGCTGTGATGATCTGTGCACGGATGTCTGCGTTGCAGGTGGTATCTTTTGACACTTCCAAGTATTTGACGCTGGACACTTCCTTCAGTGGTTTACCGTCCCTGGTGACGCTGGCGTTAGTGTTGCTTGTGCTATTCACAATTTCTGTGCATTGACTTCTATTCCATATGCGCTGACTTTTTTTTAGACAGGAAAGCAAGAAGCCGGTAGAAGAATCCGGTCGAGAGTTACACAAGTGAGAAAAGCGAGTTTCTTTTCTTGCTCTTATCACTTATGTAACTCTCTACCGGCTTCTTGCTTTGCTGTCATCTACGATGTTCAAAAGTTTAAATGCGATATCAGTTGTCAACTTCTGTCTTACCGAATCCTTTACGACCCCCCACTCTTTGCATAACCCATTCCATCTCTGAAGCATTATTGTTTTGCTTGGTGTGAAACGATTTTTAAAAAAAAGTTCTTTTTTTTTCTCTTTTTCTATGTTGAACATATTTGTAACGTAGAAAAGATAAACTTTCTTTTTCTGTTGAATATCATTGGTTTTTTTTCTTCTTCTGCATTATAATCTGCTGTCAATTCCATGACGCACAGGGTATTCCTTGGTTTACGACGGTTTTTTACTCTATGAGAGAAAGAGAGAGAGAGAAAAAGAAAAGAGAGATAGAAAGAGAAAAGAGAGAAAGAAAGAAAGAAAGAAATAAGGTAAGAAAGAGAAAAGAGAGAGAGAAAGAGAAAAGAGAGAAGGAAAGAAAGTGAAAAGAGAGAAAGAGAAAGGAGAAAGAACAAAAAAGAAAAGAGAGAAAGAGGAAAGAGAGAGAAAAGCGAGAGAGAGAGAGAGAGAGAGAGAGAGAAAGAGAAGAGAGAGAGAAAGACAGAAAGAAAATGAAAAAAGAGAAAGATCAAAGAGAAAAGAGAGAAAGAGAAAAGAGAGAGAAAGAGCAAAAAGAGAGAGGAAAGAGAAAAGAAAGAGGGAAAGAAAGAATAAAGAGAGAAAAGAGAAATGGGGAGCTATGAGATAAAAGACGAGCAAAAAAGTGGAAGGAAGATAATTAAATAGTGTAAGGAAAAATAATCTAAATACAATTGTGTGCGTGTGTGTTTGGAGATACAACTGGTGATGAGACTTAAATTTCGCGCCTTTCGCCAGACTGTCACATGATGCATTTTTTACCCTCTGAAATGTGTGTAAATGAGAATTTAGTCAAGGGGAAGTAATTAAGTTTACAACGCTACTATAATTATATTTATACCTACATATATATTGGTGTGTGTGCGTGTGCCTAAATGTGTGCGCGCGTGTGTATGCAGAAATAAGACATTCATTAAACTTAAACGAATTACACTATGAGATTATTCGGACTATTGTCCTCATCTTTGTCGCCATTTGAAGACATTAAGTTTATAATACCCAGAAATTCATACACAGATGTCCTCAAGGACACATAAAGGCGTTAGTTAGATCCAGTGACAGGACCTAAAGTGTGTGAGTTCAATACCTGGTTAAGGCAGTGGAGAACTTTGAGTGGGGAATTAACAGGAGATAACTGGCATCCATTAAACATGGCACGTGGAACTACAATGAGCAAAATAAAGGGTTCAGTTCGACATTCTAACCACCCGAAGAAGACCGACCGAAACGTGGTGACAAACATGGCGATAAAGACGAGGACAATAGTCCGAATAATGTAAATATTGTGTACGTAATACCTCATCTCTGAAATATGGACAATTAATATGAAACGAATTAATTTTAATTTTGAAGATCTGTTAATATCATTAAAGGGACTTTTTAAATAATTTTTTTTTTTTAAATTTTTTTTTAATATTGGGAGACTTGTAGACTCTGACGAAGAATTTATTTTTAAAATACTGAGGAAGGTGCTGGCAACTGGAAAAGAATCGGCGAAATCACCCAAACATTTAGGATGCGAAAAGAATTTAATTTTTTCAACACAACAAAAAAAAGCCAGCCTAGGATGAAAATTCTGTAGTATTAAACTTAATTTCATTTAAAACCAAAACAACGACCTGCCGCGATGAAACTTAATTAACGAAAGCGTACACAATAGCGTAATATGTATATGTGTGTGTGTGTGTGTGTGTGTGTGTGTGTGTGTGTGTAAAAATCGGTATCAGTTGGGGATACACAGACACATAACGCAAGGGGAATAAATAAAAGAACGTAATTATCTCCCTTACATTTTGCGCTACTAAGGGAGGTAAGCAGGTTTATCTGGAGTCAATCATTAGGAGAGATGAAAAAATATGGCTGTTTTGTCATCAGGTAATTTTATGACTTATTTAAAAATGTTTGTAACTAAAGCGTTAATGTAGAGATGCCACAGCGTACATTATTATATTTGAAATTGTGTAGTTCATCACTGGATAGCGACATATTTTTTATTTATTATTTATTTTGATTTTCCCGATAAGAGGCCCCCAAGAAAGCCACTCGATTACTGAATGAGTTTGTTGTAAGAATGTAAGTGTAGAAGTTAAGGAGTGCAGAATATAAGTATATATAAGAAATATAATAATAATTGACGTAGACTTGAAAATGTTAAGATTATAGTGATCGAGGAAATATCCACTCGGGAGTCAGGAGGAAAGATAATGGTTGACCTATACTTGAAGAGGTGAAGATTATAGTGATCGAGAAAGCATCCACTCGGGAGTCAGGAGAAAAGATAATGATTGACCTAGACTTGAAGATTATAGTGATCGAGAAAGCATCCACTCGTCAGTCAGGAGGAAAGATAACGGTTGACCTAGACTTGAAGAGGTGAAGATTATAGTGATCGAGAAGCATTCACTCGGGAGTCAGGAGGAAAGATAATGGTTGATCTAGATTTGAAGAAGTGAAGATTATAGTGATCGAGGAAGCATCCACTCGAAAGTCAGGAGGAAAGATAATGGTTGACAAAGTGATGTTGCTTGGAAAGAAACTGCCCGAATGGAACTTCCTCCTTGTTAATGGAATATGAAGGGAATGAATATGATTCGTCCCTGTGTGCATGGTATGACGGTTCTAAGCTGTGAATATCTGAACTTGTGAATGTGAGGACTGTAGCCCCTCACAACAGTTGCCAGGGAAATAGCAAGAGAGTAGCTCTACACCTGCGACTTTTCATCTGTGAAAAAAAGATTTTATAGTGAAATGAATTTCAAAAATAAATTTCTGGTCATAATTGAAATAATCTAATCTATCTTCAAATATATCTTCATATAAGATAAATATTATTGTGCTGTCCTCCCTCTAATGAGTCTATTGTAGACTCTTCCACTTACTATAAAATTAGTAGGAAATTAAGACTCGTAGTACTAACTGTAGTATAGATTGTTCTACTGAGGCTGTGACAGTTCGCAGCTGCTGTCGAACTCTCTGGCTTTGGACAGAGAGGAACCCGGACGAGGCTGTGCCGAAGGACAGAGCCTCGTCCGGGGAGGTAGACGGACCCGAACCCGTTTATGCGGGTTCTACGGGGGGATTTTTTGGCCGAGCCTACGGGCTCGGAGGACCCACTGTTAAACTCGGCCTTGTGCTACATCTACGCTCGTGGAGTGGGGGGCTACTAAATATCAACAGTCATATAGACTGAACGCTGGTCAACCGACACACACTCCCAAGTTGTGTAATACACTTCTGTTGTATTTACTTTTCAATACACGATTTATCTGCAATCTCTTGTTTTTTCTTAACTTTTTACTTGGTTACAACATCTTACTGATTAGAGGGAGGACACCACCGCAACAGATCTGAAGATAGATAGATAGATAGATAGATCTATCTATCTATCTATCTATCTATCTATCTATCTATCTATCTTCATATTATATAATAATCCGTAAATTATTAATAGATATGAAGATAGAGAATCTATCTATCTATCTATCTATCTATCTATCTATCTATCTATCTAATAATCCATAAATTATTAATAGATATGAAAGTAGACAATCTATCTATCTATCTATCTATCTATCTATCTAATAATCCGTAAATTATTAATAGATATGAAGATAGACAATCTATCTATCTATCTATCTATCTATCTATCTATCTATCTATCTATCTCAGCCTGTTCAATCCTACCTAATCGACAGATCTCCGTCTGTTCATTATCTATCTATCTATCTGCTTCGAATACACACACGCACGCACAAACTGTACACGACATGCAAGATAAATATACAGTGCACATAAAGAAAAGCAAATATTAATCAATAGGAAAAAAGAAAGAGCTTTTATATTTCAAATAAAATGTCCGCATATTGAGCTTATAACTGCAGAAAAGATTATTCACTAAAAACACCTTCAACATCGATTTTAGCCTCGATGCGGCCTCGAATGCCGACTGCTTGACCGGGTCGTGTTGTTCGTTCATGTTAACCGTTACGTCCAAGACGACGGCCTTTAACCTGTCCTTAGTGCTGTGGATTCGCTGGTTCGTCTCCTCAGGCGCGCCTTCGAGACGAATAGGAGTTGCAAATTAAGAAACCCAACGTAAACATGAAAATTCTCTTTCAGTCATTACTTTAAAACATATCTAGTTCCTTGGAGGTTGTGCGTTCAATCCCTGTGCCTGGCAGTGCTGAAAAGTGGCATACACTGTTTCAGTGGAAGAAAGAGACAATCTTGAATAGGACTGGTGGGTACTGATTCGAAATTTCCGCTGAGCATGTAAAGTGAAATGAGATAAATTATCGAATGTGATGCACACCAGGAAAAAAAATCAAACAAACAAAGGCCTGAATCGATTTTAATATCCATTAGGAGCATTTGATCTTAAGAGGAATTTATGTATAGTGAGCCCAATATTTACTGGGTGGATCCTTAAGAGATACAATTATAAGATTTGTACTTGGTGTCATATCAGAATGTCAAAAGAACTTCGTGCCTTGAGAATTAACCTAAAACGTGACTTAATAGCCACCAAGTGTCGAATCGAGCCTTGAAAGGAGTAAGTGGTTGCAGCAACACAAACAAGGAAGTGAACCTAGTTAAACTTAAGCTGTACACAGAGAAAAGGGTGACAGGAATATAAACGCGCGAGAAGATCGAACTTTCGGAGAAAGACCCCAAAACAACATACCCTCCACGGCCAAGGTTAATATGACGTTGCCCAGAAGGGGACACTTACTTTAGGTATGAAAATTTTAGTTTTGTATTCTTATCAGACGTTACTAAGATAACAGTGCACAATCAATCCACGTGGATCGAATAAAGGTTAGGGCTCGAAATTTCAGAAAGTTACTGAGTATGGCGACAGACGCCTGACGAAGAACATAGGATACAACGGCCGAAACGTTGTGAGTATAACGATCAAGATTAACATGCTGGGTCGAATAGAAAAGCTGGTAATATTGAAATGTTAGTACCAATAACCAGGGAATAATAATACCCAGTTGAGCTCAGGGGCCTTCAAGTGTAGAACCTAAAGTTGCAAGTAGACAAATTCTTAATTTAGTAGCACTGGGGTTTCAAAATAGACACCAAAGTTACAAAAAGTAAGACGTAAAATTTGGTCGTCTTGAGGTTTCAAAAGTGGCCCCCAAAATAGCAGATAGTTAAATTAATAATTTAGTAATTTTGGGCCTTAAAAAGTAACAACAAAAGTTGCAGAGAACTAAATTCATAATTTAGTTGTCTTGAACCTTTAAAAGTAGCCCTAAAAGTTGTAACCAGCGAGATTCATGATCTGGGGTTTTTAAATTCGCCTCGAAATGTATTTATATCGAAATTCAAAATTTAGTAAGCGTGGTTTCAAAAGTAACCCAAACAGACAACTAGGGAAATTCATTATTTAGCAGGTTCCAGTTTTCAAAAGTAGCCACAAACATCGAAAATTAAAGTTTAGTAAAGCCGGGATTTCAAACGTAACCTCGAAAGACAGATGGTATGAAATGTTCTTTACATATTCTTGGATTTCAAAGATCTCCTTGGAAACACGAGTAGAAAATTTCAAAATTTAGAAACCCTGTTTTTTTTTAATTAGTCTTCATTTACAAGTAATGAAATTCATTATTTAGTATTATCGAGCTTTAAAAAGTAGCTCACCCTTTTCTATCAACGTTTTATCTCAAACATATGCATGAATTCTAATACGAATTCTTCAGTTAAATTATACCATACTATAAAAAGAAAAAATGTACTGGCATAAAAAATCAAATAAAATAAAGGTATTTCTTAAATCTGAAAATTATCACATACTAATGGTCTCTTTACCACCAGTAGATCAACCTGATTCGCTTTCTGGCCGAAGGGTAAAAAATACTGCAGTTTAGTGCCTATTTTTCTTGGGTTTATATTGAGGTCTGTAAGTGGTCCGGGAGTGAGATGAGTGCGTGGGGTATTCTCCTTCGATTTGGTACTGTTTTTGTTTTTTTTTTATCTTTTGATTTTGTTTACCTCCTGAAAAATATCACCAACTTATCATCTCCTTAACGACTCTTTAATATTAACATCAGCATTCTTATGGTCAGATCAATCGGCTAACTTCGTTTCTGAAAGCATAAAATCTTGGATAAGCGAAAACAAAAGATCAAAGACTCAGTACCAAATCGAAGGACAATCCAACACGCACTTCCTGCAGCAGCGAACGCTGACGACCTCAATATAAACCCAAGAAAATAGCGCCTAGACGTCAGTTTTTCTCCCCTTTCGCTAACTATCTTAGATTATATCACCTCCCTCCCCCCTATTTTCAACCTTTAATTTCTCTTTATTTATATATTTCCTCTTATTTGTTTTCTCTCTGTCGCTCTTACTAATCACTTAGCTTTATTTCGCCAGAAAGTGAGATAAATTGGTCGACAAGAGATGAGAAGTAGATTATATTTTTCAGGTGATTTAAGAAATGTTTTTATTTCATTTATTAAACTTTGTCTACCGTTCCAAAAGATTTAATTGTAATAATTCATAATTTGCAGGTTGTACATTTCTCAAATTTCGGCTAGTTTATGCGACGTCGATTTTGCGAGGTTTGTCTTTCGATCCAATTTTTAACCC